GCGGTAGTGTCGTTGTTTTTAAAGGAGATGGGGTTGCACTAGCCTCATTGCCTAACCTTCCGTCTTCTACACCGGGCTTACTACTGGCTAAGTGAGGTTTAGGAGCAAGTTGACTGGGAATCGAATGTGGGACACGTTCGGTGTGTGGAGTTGACGAGCATTCTACTGACGCGTTGCGGTTCACGGCGCTTTTTACTTGTGTTAATTGAAGTAGTGGGTGTAAAAACTTGAAACTTCAAAACCATTGACCGAACTTCAATGAACTCAGTGACTGAGAGATTTAAGGCCTGAGAAAACTTGCACTGAACACAAATAGACACATAAACTGAATGGCGAATACCAATATTCTCCTTTGGGACCTTCTGTATCGGACTGACTGACTGAGTTTCAACACAAAAGTTCAGCGGTCCAAGTTGCCACAATCCAGGTGGCACACAAAGGTAGAGAAAAGAGGAAAAAAATGAGACTCAGAAGAAATAAAATAAGCAGAAATTTGTGGGAGGCGAAACAGTAAAATGGGAAAGCATGATGGTTTAGTGGATATGGGAAATCACAAGGAGTGAATACATCTGCCGCATTCACAATGATTTTGAACGAACGATACCGCCAATAGTTTCCGGCTATTGGTTCTTCTTATCCAGGGGATCCCGGCCAGACAGCTTGCACCTGCTTACGTGGTTGGACCGAACCAACTGATGACAGGTTTTGTTTGGTTTAACCATCTCCAACTCTTATCCAGCCTAATTCTATGTCGTCTAACATTGCTCAACGACGAAGACGGTGGCTGGGAATGCATAACACATGTCGTAGCCGTCTCCATTGATGTCGCTTCTCAACCTCATCGATTGACTTACCCTAATTACCTAACATTGTAAGCCCGAACTAAATATTACTCACTATAACACACAACTTGGCACGTGAGAGAGAACGTAAACTCATCTCTGTTTCCACAGCCCCATGAAGGAGAACAGAGCGAAATGCTGCACAGTATACACGTCTTTCAATCAACAGCCGGATAGCATGTCTGCGCGAGAGGTGACGCAATTTGACAAATGCCACATCAGCTTTTTTTATCTGGGCTGAGATTTCGTCAGCAATCAGTCAATTAGGGCTGATGCATCTGTGCAAATAAATGAAATGGTCAATACTCTCTAATACTTCACCCCCCCTATCTTCAAACTAGGAGTCGGTGCAGTCCGGTTCTTCAGCATCATCTATATCACTGAGAGATGAAAATATCAAGACAGAGAGAGGCTATTCTGTAGCTGTAATCAATCAACGAGGCTATAAAGTTACATAGATTGAGATGGCTAGGTCACGTGCTGCGCATGCCTAACCATCGCCTCTCCATCCGGGCATTATTAGCTGATATAGGTGCAGTTTGGAAAAGAGTAAGTGGTGGCCAAACAAAAACATAGCATCAATCCATGAAATCCCTGACAGTTAAACTGAGTCAGGTAGGGAGATGCAAACTTCCGGGTTGGGGCCCGCCATCGGGACTCTAAGAATCAATGGCTGGAGACAATAGGTGACATGGCTCAAAATCGTTGTCAATGGCTTACGCAGATGTATCCAGTCTCTGTAATTTTTCATATTCTTTTCTACCATTACTCATTCTGTTTCACTCTTATACTTGTCAAAACTCTATTGATTCTCTTCACTCATTTTCTTGTCTACCTTTGTGTGCTATTTAGAGCGTGGCAACTCGAACTGGTGCACTTCGGTGCCAAGTTCTATGTTGAATCCAGACAGACTGTAGCTGTAAGGATGACGTTATTTAACAAGATTATATCGTATACATACACATTTTCCGCAGACAGAAAAAATGCACCAGATCAATGATGAAACAAGGGAATTGTTTGTATGAGGCTGAAAATTACCCAGTAGAAATTATCATGTCCACACATAACATAACCCTAACCATAAAACTCAATCTGCGCAATAAAATGTCGACTACCCTAATAGGCAATAACTTAGAAAGGTTGATTCACAGTTCAGTTGCTACTACTCATTATAAGAGTGTGGTGGTGTGATACAGACAATGTGTTCCAACAGAATATTATTCTCACACATTCCCACACTTCAATAGTGCATTAGCAACAGAATACTATATGTGTATATGAACATTCTATTTCATGTCGTTTACTGTAGTAAACCAAAATCACACGCTCAGTGATTGGCTAAAGAACATAAATTGTGTATATATAAATAGCGGTTTGATCAATTGAAAATATACGTTTTCTTCCGTGTCTTGCCTTCTGCTGGTACTTACACTAGTAGTATAAATAGTTTCTCGTTGAAAAGTCTAAAAATTAACCTGTCAGTGATGAATGAAATTATACTTTTTCGTTGGGTCGATAAATCTCTCCGCTCTTCAGGCAGGCAATCTATACGCCTGCATAAAGCATAATTTTGTTGTTTGTTCGTTTGTTTGCTTGTTTTTCACTTCTCTCCAGCTACCAGCAGCATATTATCTTGATTCTTGTTCATAGATTTTGTTTATTTACAATACAATGTGTGACATTGACCTCTTTTTCTTTTGTATATACATGACTTCTAGTCAAATGTGTCCTTTTGTTATTGTTTGACATTCCTTTTGCTGGTTTTTCTTAAGATTACAAATGAGAGAACAGAATAATAGTAAGAATATTGTCAATACAAGTGTTATGTGGACGCTATTGATCTAGTTGATTCTACCAGTTTTTGTAGTTATTACTGTCAGTATTATAGAGATGTGGGTCATTGGCTTGAGCACTGAGTTTTCAATCCCCTATGTGAGTCACCAGTTCGAGTCTCGCCTATCAGTCTACTTCAGCCTGGCTGGACAACTGTGGGTACTGTGGGCACTATCAGCTATCACATAATAAGTGTGGTGTGAGTGAATTAGTAGAGTGCGTTGACCACTTCGTCTATTCGCGAAGCTGCTCCAACCCTAATGAACTGATTGCTGGTCATTAGAAGTGGAAAACATGAAGAAGAGGCTAGCTGTTTTTGACCATAGATGTTTGTCTTCCATCTTTCGTGTTCAATGTGGTGAGCAACGTTGAAGTTAGGCATAGTACGAAGTAAGGGAGGGGTGTAAATCAGTTGATGAGGTGGCACAAGTAAATCGATTGAGGTGTACACCGCCTTCTTGGAGTCCTTTAGACACTATGGATCAACGGCTGGAATCTGCTTATTGTAGTTCTCGTGGTGGATCAGTGGTTCATCGGTAGACTGCTCGCCAACGATGCAATATGGTCCAGGGTTCATTTCACCAGTAGTAAGTTCGATGAAGTGGGAAGATTGGAAGTGGGGGGCTGGCAACCCCACCACGCAGAAAATATCACTTCTACTGAAACTTCATATCTGAAGCTTGAAGCCCTATGTTCCAGTCAGGACGTAAAGGAACAAAATTTAAAAAATAATAATAAACAGTTCTTTCGAGTCCCCTCGTTTCGTTTCTCCACCTTTGTGTGCTGCATGGAGTGTAGCGACTTGAAGTATTACTTCACTTCTGCGCAAAGCTCTGTGTTGGAACTCAGTCGGTCAGTAATTATGCATGCTAATAGAGAATTGTTAGTTTTATGATTGTAGAAAGAGCAGTGTAAGTTGAACTTGTAAACCTAAAATGAACTCAAGACATCAACAGTCTTGTTTCTTCAGAAGTCAGATTAATTCATATCTGATTTCATTTTTAGTTTCTTCGTTAAACAACATAAGTGACGAGATCATTGAAAATCAGGGAGTACTGAACAGCGTTTCTCCTAATTTGGGACTCTTCATCAGTATGTTCCCACCATCCACTAGGGATCGAACCGGGACCTCAGTACGTGACCAAGCTAGTTGACCATTCAATCACTTGGGCAGAAATGCAATGCCACGTGGATTGTAACTTTATCAACTGGTGATATTAGCACTACCCTCACCAATGCCTTTGATAAGCACCCTATTCACTGGTGACAACTTCTCAATACAGCTTCAGTTCTTCTACCTAACATCCATCAATGAATGATTTGGAGATTGATATTTAGATTATGGAATTTGTGGAGGAGGCAGGTAGTTTTACCTGGATTCTGGTAGGAATTTGTGACCAGTAGGGTACAGCAGGTCGTGTGTGAGGACAAATACTCGCCGCCGATGATATTGGCTGGCAGTGGTCGTGCTATATCGTGAATTAGCAGAAGTTGGAATTCATGTACTGGCCATTGGATCGGGTCCCAGAGCCTTAGGGGTCTATGAGATCGCTGGCCTTGTAACCATAAAAGAGTAGGAGAAATGCATATTAGAGACAGTAAACAGAGGTGTGAGACAAAGGAATAGTAATAACGAAGAACAAACAGTTTAATTGAAATCATATCTCATAAGGACCTGAGTTTGAACCGTAGCGGTGGGTGCATACTGCTGAAGAGCCCAAAAGTAGACTAATGAAACAGCTGGTTGCGCAGTACTCCCTGGTGGGTTTTCAAATGATTCACTAACCGATATCAGCTCATGATGAAATCCTGTAATTAGTTTCAACTGTTTCAATGATCTCTCTAACTGATGTTGGTATGTGAGGAAATCTAACCATTGGAATTATATCTGATTAGTTAGAGGAGGTATATGACTATTGATCTGAGCATAGTATAAGTGTAACGCTAAAAGACAAAGGACTTGGTGGGGGGATATTCATTTGGAATTTGATACCTCTATATAGCCAGATTATGTACACCTTATCCACAAATCGTCATTTGCACAGATCTTCCATGTTGTGCTACTTCTGCCCTTCTTATTGTGTTTTTTTGTCTTCTTTTCACGTCTCCCATGTTTTGCCGCAACGCTGAATCATTTGCTCTTTTAGACGTCAAATCTATCTATGTATCTCTCTGCTATCTGATATTTTTGAACCTCTCTTTATATACTACTGATAAATCTTATCAGTAGCACACGCCACATAAGTATTCCATCGTATTATATTGTGTGTATAATTTTTTTATAGCATAATCGTGTATATCTTTTTTTTCTTTCTTCTTTCACAGATTATTATCAATGGGTACCATTAGTGCTTGGTTTACAGGCTATTCTGTATTATATCCCACGAATTATATGGAGTATATTCACTTACAATCGTACAGGAACTGATCTACAAAATCTTATACGTCAAGCTAATTTACTATCAAAAGAAGATGGTGAAAAACGTCAGAAAATGGTTCAACATATTGCTAAAACACTAGAATTATTACTATTCAGTCGTCGTGAATACCGTAGTGGTGATAGCCCGGGGGCATCATTTCGACGTTCACTGGCATTTATGCCGGGTAAACATCATGGGAATAATTTAGTTTATATGTATTTAGCTGTTAAACTGTTGTATTCCATTGTTGGCTTTTGTCAATTGTACATGATGTATGTCTTCCTTCGATTCGATTCACGTGAAGGTTATTGGCTATTCGGTTTTCGTGTTCTCTCTGATATTATACAAGGGAAACAATGGACAGAGACACAAGTCTTTCCTAGAGTCGGAATGTGTCGACATACACTTCAACATGTCGGGGCTAGTAACAATCTATTTGCCCAGTGTGTTCTCCCAATCAATATGCTGAATGAAAAGATCTACATCTTTCTATTCTTCTTTCTTGGTTCAGTTATGGTGTTAACAATGCTTAGCATACCGCTGTGGTTGTATCGTATGGGATTGAAAAAGCGTCAACGACATTTTGTACGTAGATTTTTAAAAATAGCCGATGCTTACGATCGTGATGATCCAAAAATATCTCTACTCATAGATCGTTTTATGGCTGAATTTCTACGACAAGATGGACATTTTATTCTACGTATGTTGTCAATGAATGCTGGAGATCTAGTGACTGTAGAGATTGTGTGTAATTTATTTGCTGATTATAAAAAGCGTTTTGCTGGCATCGATTTTCGTGGTCCACCGATTATTCCAAAATCGCGTAAATATCATGATTATGATGGTTATTTATCTCATCGTCCAATGGATATACCAAATGATTTGCCAAAATCAAGTAATAATAATCTTATTAATAATAATAATAATGCTAATCTGGATAGAAATCATCCTGGATTTATGAGTTTACAACTAGAAGAAGGCGGTATAGCTAATCTACGTCAACGGCCAATTCCATCAGCTCCAATGGGAGCACTTGAACATGCTATTCCCCCAGCTTACCAGTATCCAACAAATATGAAAGGCGCGGAAATCTATCCACTTAGTGTTGTGCGGAATATGCCAAGAGACGGTGCTGTTGAACAACCAGGTAGTAATAACAATGTCACCAATGCATCATCTAAACGACTCGATGATCAAATAGTTATGAATAATGATAAAGAATTGGGCAGAAAAATGTCTCATTATGCTCCAAGTGAAGTGTAGTGTGGATGTTGAAGTGTTTTACAAAAGGTTACAAAAATCACTCTGTGTGTGTGTGTAAAGTTACCTAATTTTTATTTTCTCCCCCCCCCCCTCCGAACCCTCGTTCGAATTCTCCCACCTCCGCACAATGCTCATTCAATGTTTATATATATATGTGTGTTATTTAGGCCCCTTTTTGTGTCCTAATTTGTTATTTTATCTTTCAAAAACTCCAAAAAAACAAACAACCAACAATTATCGATCTCTGTATGTGTTAAGGTTTTTTGTCTTTATCAATGTACTCACTCGTTTTTTGTTTATCTATCTATCTATGGGATATATATGTATGTAATGTTGTGTGTTTTCTATAAAAATTAAAGGGGTGGGAAAAAGGGGAAAGCAAGAGGGGAGAATAATGGTGTAGAAGGGGGGGGGGAAGCGTTATACTCCTCCTGTATTGTCATTCATTATATATATCGTCATTTACTCAATTATGTGACTACTGCTACTACATGACTTTTATTCAATCATCTAATGTTGTGAGAATCCTCTTCTACTGCAGTTTTGTACAATCACTCCCTTCTCCACTTATGTATGATGGATTATGAACTATGTATGATTATGTAATACGCACTTTTCTCTCCTACGTTTTGGTTTAACATATATCCATTAGAATGTGGATTAGTGATTTACTGTCTCACTCTCTCTCTCTCCTTCGATCTCTGCGCGTGTGTTCAGTAACAAACATTGGTACAAAATTTCCACTGATCGATCAAATAATAATAATAATAATGACAACAGCAGCAATATTGATATGATGATTAACCTTTTTGGGCAGTAAATATCTTGTGCACATATGTGGATGTGCATGTATGTGCGTTTTTTGAGATGGAGAAGGTGTTAAATAACTTTAACTCTACTCAATATTCAACTGTTTTTCTCGTTGTTATTTTTTTCTTTTCTAGACTCATCAAGTTGTGTTATGTTCCTTTTGTATACGAATATTGTTTCTTTTTTATTGTTATTATTATTATTATTTTATTTTGTAATAGTAGTTTTGATGTATGATTGTGAGTGTGTTTTGTTTTGATAAACTGTAGAAGATTGTGTCACTAAGATGGCTAATGTAGATTAAAGATGTAGGCTAGAGGTGGGGGAAGCAGCTAGTAGTCCCCTTGTAACACGAAGACAATGGCCAGGCAACAGATCGTTTATTGAGGAAATCAACAGATATTTATAGATTTTTATGTACATTATTGTCAGTGGAGAAGCAACCTATTCTGATTGGTTGTTTTCTTGCTAGAGGTTATTCTGTACTACTTGTGACCGTTTCTTAGAAAGTTAAGCCATATATCTGCGAATCGTATTTGCACACGTTAAGTCTGCTGTGATTGGTTGGTGAGTTCCTCAATGTTAAGCTTTGTTATTGTTGTTTTCTCATGACCCCGATTCGGGACGTAAACATTGACGTTAATTGCTGTCTACAATTTTGGCTTGTTCGCAGACAGCTCTCACCACACCCTTAGTGTGTTGTCACTGGACTAAAGTCATCTATTAGTCAAGCTAGGTGACTTCGTCATTGTGTGTGGAGCACTATGAAATAATGTTAGATTTCACTAGAAACTTCATGGGTGCTATTCCTGCTGGCCTCCTATGAGATTGTTTTAGCGTGGTCTTTTGCCAGCGCGGCTATTGTCGCCATTCGTTTTTTGGAAATCATGAAGTCATTGTGATTTTACATGGATGCTGGTCAAGAGTTTTGGACTTAACGTATAACTTGTTTTGATGTGCCTTATTCTCGCTGCTGTAATAGTGAGTAGCTGCTCGGTGGCGTGTGGTCACAAATTTTAAGCGTAGCTTACTGTCTTTAGTGTCGTTCAAGGAGAGATAGTCATTTTTTAAGGAGTGCGAATATCTATAACTGAAGTGTCTTATCCGGCGATATTTAATGTTGAAGAGTTCTACCTCAATAGCAAAGCACTAACTGATGTAGGTGAAGCTTCTTGCTGTAACTGTGATGCGTAATTTAGAATAATAATGTTTGATTAATCCTAACCTGTTGCATTGAAATAGTTGTCGATGTGTGTTTTTGTGGTTAACAGCTGGTAGAGCTTCTGAAACTTTGACCTACAGTCATGTATCAACCAAATCAAACTTTGCGGAAACTCTTCTTTTATGTAGAGTGCTAACTAAGTTATCTGAAACCGGCAGTGGATGGTGATGTTGTTCTAGAGGTGCACTCTCATATCTGTCGACAAATAGGAACAAATATGCGTGGAACCATCTACTTTCTAAATAGCTAAGATGAAAACTGCCCACAGCGAATGGTTTACTGACGTTAGAACTCCTGCCTCTTCTAATTGCTTCTGCTCAGTTTCTAACGTATGTTGTGAGCCGAACGCTGCAGTCTCAGGACTGCTTTCATAGCCTTTATTGGTAAAATTTATTTTTCAGTGGGTAATGCATGTTGAAATTTCAAAGGGAGATGTGAAATTCCCCAAAGTTGCAGGTAAATCATTTTGATACTTGACAGCGGGCAAGAAATCTAGTTGGAATATGGTTTTGTACTGATTGACTGCGCTGATATGCAGTACACAACAATGTGTTTCACCTAAGTACCGAATGTGCTATAATACACACTTAGAGTAATGTTTGCTAGAGAGGAGAAACGAAGCTGAGTTACCGGAGATTGCTTGTGGAGTGCATGAATTGGTTCAAGACCCATTAAGACTTTCCCGCAGTCGGAAGTCGGACTCTACCCTGTATACAGTAATACAGGTTATCACTAACGGAATAGAAGTGAATCAACCTACGGCGAGTAGGGAACTACCCACACTACTCAATCAGAAATATCGATTCAGACTGAACGCCTATGGAACTCCGACTTGGCGAGAGAATGATCGAAGCTGGTTGGCAGTCAGTCTCTACGCCATTAGATGATATAAGAACGTCACCAGCTAGCACATAACAGGGAAAGCCAGAACAACTGATCTCTCGAGACAAAACATGTACTGGCCAGGTATGAGAGATGTGGCAAAATATGTACTTGGATGTCTGCAGTACCAGTTGATGAAAGGAGGTCGGTGCATACGACTGTCTCTGCAGTTAATTCCAGTTACGATAGTTGGTGACTTGTGGTCCGTAGATGTGATGGGTCCGTTTCCTCAGACATCCAGTGGCAATCAGTACCTCTTGGTGATGACGGAACACGCTACACAATGGGTGGACACCGTCGCGATCCCTGATTAATGCACGAAAACTATGACTGATGCAGTGGTTGGACACATCGTCGCAGACCACCGTGTAGCGATGATGATACTGACAGATCAACGTCCTTGTTTGGAAGGTGAAGAATTAAAATCCTGTTTGCAATAGCTAGGTATCAAGAAGAATGGAACAACACCATATCATCCCCAAACGAATGCTCGAGCAGACAGAAATAACCATACACTAAAGGAGTGGATGGCCTCAATGGGAGGTAATTGGGAGACAGAGCTTCCATTGATTCTACTAGCACATCGTGCTTCCACCTAGAAAACTACAAAGAAGTCACTTTTTTCAAGTGATGTATGGTTCTCTACGTCAACCGTCTGTCTTCTTGCGTAGCAGTTTTGGTGGTACGTATCGTGTCGTTGCTGTTGCTAATAGTCATTAGAACAGTAAGCACGCGAATCGACTAGTTAGGAATTTTGTTAGCACAAATTACCAAGTATATTAACGGTCATAACAGAAATATATTTGTCTGACTACCTTTCTGGACACATTTAGATTCGAATTTGTCAACAAAATCTTCCAATATATATGTCCAAACCAAGTTCACTTTTAACAGTTTGAAAAAATTTGGGCATTGGGTATATTATATTCATTATAATAAAGGTTCTAGTATTTCCCAGTGAATGAAAGACAAAACGATATTGTTTTTACTGGCGTTTCGCGCAAAGGTTTCAGTTGTTTCAAGTCTTCTTAGACGAGCACACTCTCTGATAACGGATGAGAAAGAAAAAGAAGAAGAAATATCAAAAATTACTGAAACTCTCAAGCAAAACAACTACCCAAGGAACTTCATCAACAAAATCAACACTGACATTAAGTATGGTCGAAAATGCATTCCGAAAATATGGACCTCAACAGTCGTCATTCCATATGGAGCAGAGACGTCAGACGATTTCAGAAGAGTTCTCAATCAGCTCGACATTAGAGTTTTCCTCAAAACATCAGACACATTACGAAACAACCTTGTCCATATAAAAGACCAAATCCCTAAAGATTCTCTGTCTAATTGTGTCTATAAAATAAAATGCTTGGAATGTGATGCGATATACATCGGACAAACATCTCGAGAAATCAAAATGAGAAGAAATGAACACTGTAGAGCATCTGTTCGACCACCGAGAAATCCGGTTGAACTAGAAAAGCTTGAAAAATCATCAGCCATAGGTCTACACGCTATAGAATCAGGCCACAAAATTAATTTTGACAATATTGAAATAATCCAGAAAACTTCAGAAATCACAAAGAACGTCTGATATCATGAGAAGCACTTCATATCAAGTGGAATCCAAATTGTCTGAATAGGAATGATGGACTAAAACAGAATCTGACCTGGTTACAACACCCCCATCCCCCATGAAGTGACAAAATCAACACGAATGTGATAAGCAATATCATTACATAAACACACGCTGTTTTATAATTTTACACACTTATCAAATCCAACAGTCTACACTTGGTTTTGTTATCTTTACCAATTGGCCAACTAGACAACGAAAAATGACCCCATACTGACGAACGATGATCAAGTTAGTAAACTTTGTTTTGATACCATAACAGATGTACTATCACCTTTGTTATTTGGTTTAGTGATCTTCATTGTTATTTTGACTTTCAATATGTCCTTTTATCTTGACCGAAGTCTAAGTGAATTTGAGATATTCCCGTCGATTAATTGGACCGAAGTGCTCGGTCTCAGGTTGACATGTTGGCTTCTTGTGCAGATGCTTCGACGATGTTTGGGCACTTGATTAGAATTTAATTTGTGGATGGTGACTAGCAGTGGAATCCAGGATGCGCATTTTGTTCTATTCGGGACTCTGCATCTGCACAAGAAGCCGACATGTCAACCTGAGACCGAGCATTTCGGTACAATCAATCGACGGGAAAATCTCAAATTCAATTAAATTAATATGACCCATTGCACAAGAGGTGGCTTTCGTGGCCCGAGTGGTCTAATGGATAACGCTTTGGCTTTTGAAACTAAGGGTACTAGGTTCGAGCCTAGGTGGGAACATTATCACTCACTGAGAAATGCAGGTACATCCAGCTGACGAGTCCCAAATATGACGAAATACGCATCCTAGATTCTACTGCTAGTCACCATCCACAAATTAAATTCTAATTAAATGCCCAGACATCGTAGAAGCATATGCACAAGAAGCCAACATGTCAACCTGAGACCGGGCACTTCGGTCCAATCAATCGACAGGAAAATCTCAAATTCAATTAGACTTAGGTCAAGTTAAAAAGACGTATTGAAAATCAAAATAACAATGAATATCACTAAACCAAATAACAAAGGAAATAGTACATCTGTTATGGTTTCAAAACAAAGTTTACTAACTTGATTATCGTTTGTCAGTATGGGGTCATTTTTCTTTCTTTCATTTTTCTCACCTCTTAACTCTTTGTTATATATATGCTGAGATTTTGTAAATTCTGGTTTAATAATACTTTGATAAAATCTTCCATTTTAAACGCTTATAAATAAATAAATAAATAAGTTTTATTTCAATTCGTGTTGCTGTTAACAATAAGTTCTCTTTATTTATTTATTTTATGTCTTATCAACTGAAATGTTGTCTAGACAAATAAAAACATGAACAGGATGATTCCCAATACTGTTAATAATAAACAAATTTATTTTGTTAAAAACACA